CAAAAAAACCCTAAAGAATTGAAGACAGGCCCACTAGTCATTCTGTCTCCTTCTGATATATGAGACTGCACAGGATGACCTGCCTTTTGCGTTTGGCACATAGTACATAGTTTATATGTAAAAACCATAGGCCAGCTGTCGACAAAACCATACATTGTGCTCCAATATTTATTCAACTTTTTTTTTTTTTTTGGTCTTTTTGAGATAGGGTCTCCTTGTAGACCCAGCTAGCCTGGAACTCACTTTGTAGACCAGGTTGACAGAGATCTGCCTGCCTCTGCCTCCCAAGTGCTGCCATTAAAGGCATACACCACCACACCTGGCTCAATAGTCCATATTTCATTATAATTCATTTTATTTAAAGTTAAGCCTTGCAGAAGTAGGCATATTAACTTCATGACTGTCAATGCTTGTTCAAGACCTGGAAGGCCCCCCCCCCCAACATTTGCTAACAAGAAAAGTGCTTTGGAAGTAGAATGGGGATACTAGAGAGATGGCTCAGCAGTTAAGAGCACTGGCTGCCCTTGCAGAGGACCTGCATTCAGTTCCCAACATCCCCACATGGCAGCTAACAACCATCAGTAACTCCAGTTTCAGAGGATCTGATGCCCTCTTATGGCCTCCATTGTCACTGCATGCATGTGGTACACTCATATACATGCAGGCAAAACACTCATATACATAAATTAAAAATTAGATGACATTTTTTCAAAAGCAAAATGGTGTGATCTCATATCTGTGATGCACCTCTCACTGGGGCCTTTTCAGGAGAGGCGAGTCTACATCCTCCCAGGCAAAGTGACAATTCTACCTGCAAGTGAAGAGCACTGCTTTGACAAATTCAGGAACCGCAGGCAGGACACATTGCAGTAGGTAAGTTCATGGAATAATTACTAAGAATGACGGCATGACATGCAAGCAGAGATGACCGACTAGAGGAACCGACGCTGCCCATCAGCAACCATGGGTGAACGTGCCTCCACGGATGGAGAACAAGTCAGAATGTTCACCTTTGTTCTCTTCTGATCCTTGAGCTGACTACAGTAGCTAGTTAGGTGGGAACCCGAGGCAGTCGGGACTGAATGGCCGCCACTTCATTTTCCCAGTGGCTAATTTTGATTGTCAACTTGATATATCAGGGAAGAAGGGACCTCAGTTGAAGAACTGCCATCAGATTGGATTGTTGGGGGTACTTTCTTCTTTGCCAGTTGATGCAGAATGTCCGACCCACTATGGGTGGTTGTATCCCAATGCAGGTGTACAAGAAAATCACCTGAAGTGAGTCGGAGAGCGAGCCAGGAAGCAGCATTCGTGTGTTGGTTCATGCTCCTGCCTTGGTTTCCTGCAGTGATGGAGGATGTGACCTGTAGGCTAAACTTAAGCTTCCCCTCCCTGAGGTGCTTTTGGTCATGGTGTTTATCACAGCAGCAGAAAATTAACTACAACACTAGGCAAGAACAGAACTCCACAGACATAATTACTTCACAAGACACAAACCTGCCCTCAGTTCTCTTCAGTTAGGGTTGCAGTGGTTCTCAGACTTGGCTGGGCATGAAAACAACACGAGAAACTGAAACAGCCCTGCTTTGAGAACACTGGCGTTGGTACATCTGAATTATCTGGAATAAGGTGCTGGGATTTGTATTTAAAAAGCAGGACGAAGGTGCACCTGTGCATGTGGGGTTCTGCAATTGCCTGGCTGGAAGAGGAATGAAAAAGAACGAAGCCTTTGGTCTTGTTCCGCTTCGGATAGAAAAGTATCAAGATTACTTGATCTAATGCTGGATGATAGTCAGTGCTTTCTATGTCAACCAAACAAATTTATTGCTCAGAAAATACATTGTACAGGGACTGGAGAGATGCCCAGCAGTTAAGAGCACTGGCTGCTCTTGCAGAGGACCCTGCATTTCCCAGCACCCACATGGCAGCTAACAACCATCCCTAACTCCAGTTCCAAGGGATCTGATGCCCTCTTCTGACCGCAACAGGCTTTGGATGACACAGGTGCATTTACGTACATGCAGGCAAAACACTCAAATACATAAAATAAAAACAAACAAATAATAAAAGAAAACCCATTGTACCATAAGGGGTACAGATGACGAGAATTATCTCAGAATTTGGGGAGTTTCAGTCCGGCCGATTCGGAGACGCTAAAGAGATAAAGGAAATAAATGAAGGTACTTGACAAAGTAGCAAAGTGTTCGCAAACCTGCCACTTACAGGAGTGGTTTTGGTTACCACTGAAAAAGGAGGCGATCCCAGTATTCTTCAAGAGAATGCCCACACGGCTTTTCTAATCTGGTTTGGAGCCAAACCTTCCATTTATTCACACACTGGTTAAATTGAGAACGTTTGTATATTAAGTCTTAGGAAATGTTGATAACGTACATCATGACTTACATCAAATTTAGCTTTAATTTAAAGATAATACTACAATATTTTAAAAAACCTCATTGGTAGTTTGTTAAAGTTCCATGTGCTGTTTATTTCCTTATCATTGTTTTGTGTGTGGAAGTTCAGGGCAATGGAACTGATAAAGAGATGTTCAAATCATATCACAGAACAGCAAGCAGCACCTTACTCTAGTAGGCAACATTGTATCTAGGCAACCTTGTATCATGACCCTCCACTGGGAGCCTTGAAATTTATTAGCCAGTATGTTATACAAGCAATTCCAACCAGACTTCCCAAAAAATATAAATATTTTCTTTTCTTTCTGGTCTTTTGGAGACAGGGTCTCCCTGTAGCCCCAGCTGGCCTGGAACTCACCTTGTAGACCAGGTTGGCCTTAACTCACAGAGAACCGCCTGCCTCTGCCTCCCAAGTGCTGGGATTACAGGCATGCACCACCATGCCCCGCTAAATAGGTGGTTTGAAATGCTCTGTTGACACTTCTTGGGCTCTTCCTTCTTGCTGAAAGCCTTGTTGGCCTATTGTGTAGTTTCTGCTTATTTCTATGGACACCTCGTAATCCTCACCTGA